GAACCTTTTTATTTCGCTCAATGGGGTAGATTGTTCTAGTTTCACATGCTATGTTTGATGGATGTCAGTTATCAGTTATCCCCTGTTAATTACCCTCTGAAAGTTCTCCACTGCCTTAACCGGGTATTGAACTCACACTCTTTGGGTCCTGTCACTGGATCTAACCAACGCCTTTATCCACTGTGCCATGTGTCCTTGAGGAAGGCCGGAGCGTACAACGGCCGAAACATTGTGATAAATATGGCGACAAAGATGAGGACAATAGTCTGAATAATGTAAATAATGTACATAATACCTCATCTCAGAAATATAGACAGACTCAGATACTACCGTGTTGTCCAAGTTGTCAAGAGGACTGAGCTGCAGAGCACAACATGAGTCAGGGGAGGTAATAAGAAGGTGATCAAGTAGAGAAGCATGTCTGTTACAGTTATTTGGGAAATGCATGGAAACGCTACTACAGTGTAACCCGGATATAAGAGAGTTGTCGGGACCGGAGAAGAAGTCTCTTATATCCGGGTTTGGTCTATTTTATATATATTAACACAGGCTCTAATTTGGGACCAGAGAAAATATCTCTTATATCAGGGTCTCTTATATCCGGGTTGCACTGTATTTGAATGAGATTGAACAATTGAAAAGTTCAAAGTCTGGATAGCAGCGAGGTCAATGGCATTAGAGTGATTAAGTCACTTGACATCTTGGGTATTAAAGTTGCTGAACACAAAGATATTTGCAGGTGAGTGTAGAAAGAGGGCCTTATCTGTACTATCAGAAATTCTCACAACTAAAAGTCATGTGAGATAGGAGAAAGATCTGAGGATAAATACTTAGTTGCAGTTAAAATTCTGTATTTACTTGATTTTAATGACTCTAATTCATAACAGACATCTTGGGCTGTTCCTAGATGATCATACATTCTATCTTTTCTACAACTGATGGCAGGTCTTTTTTCCTGCTACTATTTTGTCAAGAAGTTCTTGTAGTTTTCCATTAGTGTCTGCTATCAGCAAATAGTCATCTGTGTATAAAGCTGTATGTAAAGGCAGTGTGTTTCCAGTAACTGTTTTGGATCAGTCTAATATCTATCCTAAATTATTTTTTATAAATATTTTCATGGTACAGTGTATATAAGAGAGTTGTCAGGACCGGAGAAGAAGTCTTTTATATCCCGGTTTCTCTTATATCCGAGTTTGGTCTATTTTATATACATTAACACAGGCTCTAATTTGAGACCAGAGAAAATCTCTCTTATATCCGGGTTTCTCTTATATCCAGGTCTCTTATATCCGGGTTACACTGTAATTGTTCTGATAAGCTTTCACTTTGATGCCTCTGTTGTATATCTTCTCTTTCATGCTTAGGTGTGTGTGTGTGTGTGGGGGGGGTCTTGCACCAAATTATTATAATGTTGTATCTTCTCTTTCAGGCTGGGAGGTTAATGGTACCAATTTAATACAATGGCATATTCTCTCTCTTCTCTTGTCTTCTCCGAGACAGGGTTTGCAAAATGTTTTTGGTTTTGAGATGAAAGACATCAACAAATATAATTTGAACTTATCTAGTTTTATTAATATCGTCGATGTCTACATTTTTCACTCCCTCCACTCAGGAGCTGTTTCAAACATGAAAGAGAACACGTCTGCATTTCTTGACGGTTCTTAAATAACTCCTGAAAACCCTTTCTCTGTATCTATCATTCTTACACTTGTTCAGCCAATCAAAATTGACTTTCTTATTTTGTCTTCCATTTGACTGCAAAAGTCAACCTCAAGAAGTCCAAGCAGAGATACTATTTCCCCTAAAAATAATAGTCTTCTAAACTATTATTTAAAACCTTGACTTTAGGAATACTAGATCAGCAGCTAGATCTCATAATGCTACTTTTCATTTTGTGAGATGTAACCTTAAGTTCTATACTAACAGTGTCTTCTTTTTACCTCTCACTTTTGGAACTCTTTTCAGGCTTCTTGCTTTCCTCTTAATTATGCTCTCTAAAAATGCAAATGCAATATCATGTGTTGACAGTATCCTTGAATCCTGTTCTATTATTGTTTTCTCTTCTCAATAATGTTTTTCTTAGTTTCTTTCATTCTTAGTAACACCTTGCATCTTAGTGGCTTTATCACCTTTCATTGGGTGAAAGGATAAAAAACTTCAAGGAAGTCTTCTTTGTGCCACATCTTATCTAATATACTTAAACAATCTATGAAAGATAGGTATAAACCATTCTGTGTTTGTATTGCATGCTCTGATATCATTCTGACCATAAAAATTACATTTCTTGTCCCAGTGTCTTTAATGAAGCCACATTTTTTTTATCCTATTTCTGATTTAATTGTGCTCTGTGCTCTATTAATCATTGTCTTAGACATCTTTCTATTTTTTTGTGTAGTGTGCAATGAATAAATTGTCAGTTAAATGACACAAAAATGCAAATAACACTGACATCTCATTTTAACAGATATATTTACCAAAATTACACAAATATCTTGAAATAGTAAAGTGTAAACTTATTAAATAAAATCACAATTGGCTTCAAACATGTCCTTCAGATGACTTTGGAATTTCCTGCAAATTTTCTGGATAGTCTCCTTGTTAGTTAGTGAATGTTTCCATAATCCTAGCTTCGGTTTATTTTTGGTATTACAGGGAGTTTTGTTGGTCTCTTGCTCAACTGTGTCCTACACACAATAATCAAGGAGGTTGCAGTGGGCCAGATGTGGAATTAGGTGGCCAGATGTAAGAGGTGATGTGGTTGCAGAAATTATCTGACAGCCACAACTGGGTTCTCCTGCTTGTGTAGCATAGTGCAGAGTCCTCCTGTTGCCAGATATAGGGTCTTCTAGCAGCCACCCTCTTGACTTGGGCAGCACTACTCCCTCAAGGCACTTGATGTTGTCCTCTGTGAAAAAAATGGAACACCTTCATAATCACCATTTTACTCATCCAACTCTTTCCAAATCCTTTCCGCTGTCCTCAGATTGACACCCAAACACACTGAAATTGTTGTATTGGAGCTTCTGGTGCGAATGCCAAGCAGTACAGCATGCCATTTCTAAATGGTGGAATAAATTGTGTCATGGTAGTCTTTGTCTCACAGACAGTGCCCAACTGACCCTACTACACTTGTACAAAATAAATGAGAAACAATACGCAGACTTGAAATTAAATATATAAATAACGACAATTTATCCATTGCAACCTGTACTTGGCCTCAAATCATTTTCTATCCATGTACTGATGGTTTGTTCTCAGTAAATATTTTGGATGATTCACATATTTTCTCCAAATAAGTCAAGTTTTCTTAACAGCTATTAAACAGTGAATTTTTCCAGCAAGCCATTGTGAGCAAGGATAATCTTTGCCAAATTTTCAAGCAATGCCAAAAATCTTTTAAGATAGTTTAGTTTCACAAATTGTTTGATTGAGATTCCCTGATTTTGTCCATCATCTCAAAGACATTTTTAAGATATGCATTTCATAATCCATGACATTTTTGTTTTTACCTAAATGAATGTGAGCATCATTCGACAATTAGCTTAATGAATCAAATAACCAAAATAATCATCCGAATTTGGATGAATAAAGCATGAAGCATTTCATAAAATCCATCTATTGGATGCTTTAGTACACATCATCAGTGATGTTTCTAGCCGAGGTTCATTAGGGGTTTCGGATCTTTCAACATCATACCCCCTCACCACAGTGACCCAGCCGATACTGATCGGGTATCGACTTGTGAACCTTCCATCAGCTATAGTTTTTGTCCATCTTTAAACTACACATTGTGACTCCCCTTTAGACCAGAAATAAACAAAGACAGTGCAGTTTGCTAAGAACACTGAAACAAGAAATTAATTTGTAATTTAATCTTAGCTCATTTACTTTTCTTTAATTAATTTTAACTTTCATTAATTCTTTAATTTTCACCTTCTATTGCAATTCTCTTTAGTCTAGGCTTTACAGATTTGATACTACCGACACCTCCAGCTACGGCACTCAGGTAGCCCAACTGGTTGACAAGATTCTTAGTTTAACAACCAAAGAATGGTTTAACTTAAAAGAGTTATTATTATAAATAAATAAAAAAAAATGTTCAGAGAAATATAACCAAATTATTTTTAACCTATTGTGGAATTTCTTTTGTTTAAAGATGAAAATACTTGGATTTGCAAAAGATGACTTCCAGAAAATAAACAATGTATTAAGTCAAAAAGTGCAAGAGAAGAAACTGTTAGCATAGAACTTATGATTACATGTAGCCATTTAAAATATAAAATGAGGAGACCTTCCACCAATCAAGTACTGTACTTAAATTCATAGAGTCCATGTACCAAAAAGGAAAGTTCATTAACACAGTAATTAATATCATTTTCTTTGTTATTATTATTAAACATCATTTTGGTCATTGTGTTGTCTAGCCTTCTCCAGATTGGTTTTGTTTCACTGCCAATACCTAAAGATATTTTGTTTCTTATCAATTATTTCTCGTTCTGTTCCTGCTAAATTTAAATCTGTGCTACCCAGCCCAAGTACTGAACTCAAAATGACGATGACACCAAATGACACTTTAAAATATTTCTAAAAGTATTTTTTGAAAATATTTTTAGGGAAAAAGGAGATGTTCTTAAAGTTGCATGTAAAATTTTAAAAAGGTTTGAAAAAAAGTAAGTAATTAGAAAAGGACAATTAGAAGAAAACATAATTAAAAACAACTAAAAAACATAATTTCAAAAAAACAATTAGAAAAACATAATTAGAAAAATATAATTAAAAAAATATAATTTGAGAAAACAATACAAAAACTAATTAGAAAAAATCCGAAAACATAATTAGAAAAAATTAAAACAAAAAATAATTAAAAAAAAAATAATTAGAAAAATAATTAGAAAAAACATAATTAGAAAAAAATATAATTAAAAAATGATTATTAAAAAACAATTAGAAAAAACAATTAGAAAAACATGAATAAAAAAAATAATTAGAAAAAACATAATTTCAAAAAAACAATTAGAAAAATAATTAAAAAAATATAAAAAAAAATAATTATCTAAAAACAATTAGTAAAACAATTAGAAAAACATAATTAGAAAAACATGATTAAACAAAAAATAATTAGAAAAAACATAATTAAAATCATATTTATTAAAAAAAACAATTTAAAAATATAATTCGAAAAAACAATTTGAAAAAACATAATTATAAAAAATCATAGTTTCTACTGTATCTATAGATCTAAAAATTTAGTTAAATGTATATACTTAGATGATTATATATCTATTCTATATAATCTGATTTACAGTCAATTCTTACGATAAGAAGCACAAAAATTAAATGACAGCTTGACATTTTTTATCTCAGATTAATAATTTCACTTTTCTCATTAATTCTTTATCTTGAACTTTTATGACTAAAATAGAAATTACTGAAATATCTTCATTTAAGTTTTTCTTTTGTTTTCTTTCTTTAAGCTTCTTACCAACCAGTTTGGTATTTCCCTTTCATGAGCCACTCAACTGGTCAACCACAACTCTTCTCTGCCTGGGACAGTCTTCAACTAATTCCACCCCAACATCCCACATGAAATCTAGCTAGAAAAGAAACCTAGTACAATTAGATGTTGCTGCAGCAGGTGTTGACATTTGTTAACAACTTCCTACTTAGTTCCATTGTTAGAGCAATGGACTAAAGAACAGGAGAGTAGACAGTAAGATTAAACTATGATTCAATTGATCTAGCCTGGGTAAACTCACCTGAGAAAAGGATAAAAGAGTTTTTTATGCCATAACCCTTCAGGATGTAAGCAGTTATGGCTTTCTGTAGGACCCTTTTCTTTATTATATGTAAATTCCCATGAATTCTTGGGAAAGATAGTGCCTGTTTTTTATTGTTTTTGCAACAGTTTTGCATTCAGGATTGTTTTTCTCCTAGATTGGCTGTAAAACAAGGCAAGAGTGTTCAGTCTATCTTGCTATTTAGGAAATAGCAAGAAAAAGAAGAAATGGATTGATGCCTTTCCAATGGATATTTGTGTGAAAATGAATGCAACAGAGTAAGATGGAATATAAACTCAGCTCTCTAATCACATTTTCTGCACCATAGCATGTGAGATTGATTCATGCCTTTCCCAAGGGGATTATTGTGAAAGAGAATGGCACAGACTCAGCTGAAATTTGAACTCATCTCTCTAATCCCAAATAAGATACCTGCACATTATGTTAGTAGTTGTCAATAATGATCGCATTAATTATGTTGGGATGGGCACTTTCATTGAAAAAAAGTGCATCACTATATTCTATGTAAGATCAAATTGTTTCACTGTGTGACTCTGAATAGGACCAAAAGATAGATAGATAGATAGATAGATAGATAGATAGATAGATAGATAGATATTAACAGACTGAGATAGATAGATAGATAGATAGATAGAGAGAGAGAGAGAGAGAGAGACTTTGATAGATAAATAGATAAATATAAATAAACTGAAATAGATAGATATGAAAAAGCTGAGATAGATAGGTATGAACAAACTATAGATAGATAGATAGATAGATAGATACTGTGATACATAGATATGAACAAACTGAGATTGATAAATACATAAATATGAAGAATCTGAGATAGATGGTTAGATAAATATGAAGAAACTGAGATAGATAGGTAGATAAATAGATAAATATAAATAAACTGAAATAGATAGATAGATATGAAAAAGCTGAGATAGATAGATATGAACAAATGATAGATAGATAGATAGATATGAAAAAACTGAGATAGATGGTTAGATAGATAAATATGAAGAAACTGAAATAGATAGATAGATAGATAGATAGATAGATAGATAGATAGATAGATAGATAGATAGATAGATAGATACAGACTTTGATAGATAAATAGATAGATATAAATAAACTGAAATAGATAGATATGAAAAAGCTGAGATAGATAGATAGGAACAAACCAAAGATAGATAGATAGATATGAACAAACTATAGATAAATGGATAGATACAGACTGTGATAGATAGATATGAACAAACTGAGACTGATAGATAGATAAATATAAACAAACTGAGATAGATGGTTAGATAGATAAATATGAAGAAACTGAGATAGATAGATAGATAGATAGATAGATAGATAGATAGATATTAACAGACTGGGATAGATAGATAGATAGATAGATAGATAGATAGATAGATAGATAGATAGATATTAACAGACTGAGATAGATAGATAGATATTAACAGACTGGGATAGATAGATAGATAGATAGATAGATAGGGATAGATAGATAGATAGATAGATAGATAGAAAGATAGATAAATATGAACAAGAGATAGATGGAGAGATAGATAGATGGAGAGAACAGATAGATAGATAGATAGATAGATAGATAGATAGATAGATAGATAGATAGATAAACAAACAAACTGAGTTTGATAGACAGATATGAACATACTTGGATAGATAGATAGGATAGATAGATATGGGCAGACTGTGATAGATAGCAGAATGAATAAAAACTTCCATTTTTACCTGTTTGCTTCTCCTCTTTTATCTTAACATGTTAATTCTGAACTTGTCATGATAAATAAAACTAACAATGGTGAGTCATCTATAAAATTCTTCTCCCATCACATATCTGTATTGATAATTTCCATTTGCACATTTTCTCTTTTGCTCTTTTTTGTACTCCAAACCCTGAAAGATATTTCCATTTTCTGAAAGTGTGTCTGAAATGAGAAATGAGAGAGGAAGAGCATGAGAATGAGAACAACTTAACATGTGGCTTGAGGTTCTAATGTCTCTACAGCCTTCCTCAGCAATTTTTGTCATTTTATTTGTTTTCAAATTTCATCAGTTATATCATTTTCAGAGTTTTTTTTTTCCAATAAGTTTTTTAAAGATCTGATATCTCTCTTTATTTTTCATCTTCCAGGTAATGGTTTTAAAATCTATTATGAGCCAATCTATTAATAAGGTAGGCTCTTAGGAAATAGCATAATTAAGCTTTGAGAGAATTTAAAACTGTGTACACACACACACACACACACACACACATATATATATATATATATAAATGTATAAGTGCGTAGGTATGCAGAAAATAGAAAAAAAACGTTGGGTGCATAGTCCGGGGTTCGTTAGTATTTTTGTTTTTATTTTTAAGAAGGCAGTGCTCCATACAGAAGTAGAGCTTTATTATAATAATATTTTTTTATAATAATATTTTATATATATATATATATATATATATATATATATATATATATATATATATATATTCTTCTTATTATTTTTAAAATATTTTAAAAATATTTTGTCATTGTGACACAAAAAGTTTTGGAACTAAAATTTTGTTGCATTTTCAAACAATCTTGAATAACTTCAGAAAAAATTATTTACTTTTGTAAGCGAAGTAGTATTATATTGTGAATTTTAAATGGGAGGTGGGGAGTGAGATTATAAACTTTGATTTAGGGTGTATTTCTATTTTTGTGAAACCTAAATACAGATATGAGTTATAAATTGGAAACATGAAAAACAGGTTAGAGGTTGTGTGTGGTTATGTAATTCATGGTTGTATAGAATTGTTTATTGTGTCATATAGATGTATATTAATGCTTAACAACATTATCATTAAACAAAGAAAGAAAATCACAATATTGATACATATTTTTTTATCTTATTTAAGGTTACAAAAACCATTATCAAAGATAACAATTACATTACAATATATTAAACAATACACAGACAAAACATTAATGATAGTCTGTTTTTGTTCACATGGAAGATTTCCAAGCAATGTGAAACTCATGTTTATCGTTGCTTGGAAATCATCCATGTAAACAGAAACAGACTATCATCACATTCTTGTCCGTGTATTGCTTAATATATTTTAATATAATTGTCATCTTTGATAATGGCTTTTGTAAGCCGAAAGCTTAGATTGGATTAAGAAAAAAAATGTATCAATATTGGGATTTTCTTTCTTCGTTTAATGATAATGTTATTAAGCTTATCAGACGTTATGAAAAGAATTTACATAAAATAAACAAACAACATTTGTCTATATTATTTAATGAAACATGTATAAATGAAAATGCTGCCTAAATACACACAATTTAATATATATATATATATTTTATATATATATATATATATATATATGAAGGGAAGAGTAGTAGTAATTATAGTAGTTCCAACTAGAGAAAAGTGTGTATATTAAAAAGAAGAGACAAACCACAAAAGTATTTGGTTGTAATGTTCATTTTTTAAAAAACATTATGCTTTATTTTTCTATAATTTTGCTACACGGGTTTCCGGTCCCACGACCTTCATCAGGCAAAGAGTGAATATTTCCACATATTAATTTTTCTTATGTTTTTTGATGTTCATTATCCTTGATATTAGATATACTCTTTTTTTTGTGTTAGTGACCCAAGTTCTGCGTGATGGGTAATAAAACAATTAAGACTAACCCGAGAAAGGGTGAAAAAGGGAATAACGATATATAAATTTTTACATATCAAGAAAAAATTTTGTGGAAAGAAGTATGACAACGTGGAAAAATTTTTTGTGACATGTTTCTTCCTTTAGGACTCCATCATAGTAAGTTTGTTTGCGTCGATGTGACTACACATGTGTACAAAAGAGAGGTGTGGGGTATTTTAGATTTAATTATTTTTTTTTATATGCGTTTTGAGTATATAAGCTAACCGAGTTCATTTAGATTCTTTTCCTTTTTGTTTTTGTCACATTGTTATTAAATATCACACATTGTGATAAATATGAAATATCACATATTGTGATAACAGAAAACACACCAAAAATGGTGAAACATTGCAAGAACCTCGACACAAATTCACTGTGGATGACCTAGAAATAAAAGCATTAAAATTCCCAGCGTATTTCACTCGGCCACATGTGTAGTTGCATCAACCTAAACAAACCTAGTTTTTTTTGCACTCATAAAGGACAAAACATGTCACATGAAAACTTTTCCACTTTGTCATACTACTTTCCAATATAATTTTCATCAATATATATATATATATATATATATATTCGATGCAGTAAGAACGAAAATAATATATAAATTCTAAAGTTCACAGCATTAATCCAAAAGAGGGCTCGATACCAATAGTAGAGCGATAATTATTTATTATAATTTTTTCATATAGACAAAAACAGTTTACTCACTACAAAGATGCAACTTCGTTTCAGTGCATTTCATTTACACCTCGACTGTAGCTTGCTTGAAATCAGAATTGTTCATAACCATTTTGGTTCTTACCAGTTGAGGTGCAATTGAAATGCAGTGAAGCGAAGTTGCATCTTTGTAGTGAGTAAACTGTTTTTGTCTATATGATAAAATTATAATATATATATATATATATATATATATATATATATATATATATATATATATATATTAATTGATTTAAAATATGTTTTTTTCGCTACACAGTTCTAACCATGTTTCAAAAATGGAAGCTTCGAATTTAATTTTGTAATTAAATTAAAGACATTAGTTCCATTTCATCCTCATGCGAATTTTGGAGTAACCTATTTTTAAATTTACTGGGTTTTAAAGGCACGGCAAAAAAATCTTAATTCACGTTTCCAAGGATACAGAGAAATCTATTCATCTACACAAGGGGTGTTTGAGTGTTCATTATCGCTGTATTTTGTTGTATCAGTCATTAATTACGTTTTGGTAAGGGTAGGTATGTATTTTTTAATGAATTCTGACATCCGTTAAACGCATGTCGTCTGGATTTAAAAAAAAAAAATTATTGTTAACGGCAATAATTCTTACTGCATTTTTTTTCTATTTGTATACTTAAAGATTTTGGGGGTGTTTAAGTTAGAATATGTTTTATTTAACTACGATTTTAAAAATTTTCACTTTGGTTTTGTTGAGTGTGTATATTTATTTATGTATGTTTTAATTGTTTTCCACTTCCCCATCAGTGTTATCAGTACAGTGTAACCCGGATATAAGAGACCCGGATATAAGAGAAACACGGATATAAGAGAGATTTTCTCTGGTCCCAAATTAGAGCCTGTGTTAATGAATATAAAATAGACCAAACCCGGATATAAGAAAAACCCGGATATAAGAGACTTCTCCGGTCCCGACAACTCTCTTATATCCGGGTTACACTGTATTTCTCTTTACATCAAGTTTATTTCTTTTTTTTTATATTTGTTTGTCTTCTTTTTATTTTGCTTCTTACTTTTAGCAAATGTTTTTTTATTTTTTCTCTTTCTTTCCCCTTTCTTCCTAACATTTCTTCTTCCTTCTCATTCTTCATTTTCACACTTTTATTTTCTCTTTTTTTCTATTTCCATTTCCGTTTTCCTTCTAAGAAATCCTTCATAACATTTTGTAAATTTTTCTTCTTTACATTTTCGTTTGCTTGCTTTGTAAAAAAAAGTAATAAATTTGATTCTTATAATTTATTTACTTTGCCTTTTCCTAATGACATCTTTGAATGAATATGTCTCGAGATGATTTGATAGCAAGGCTTTCTGTTTTCTTCTGACAGAAGAGTTCTCCAATAATAATTCATCGTGTCTTATCATCTCACTATGCAAGCAAGCATTAATGGGTCTAGCATTCTACCCAACATTAATGTTTGCTTATCAATATTTTGTTTGTCAAACATTTTATTGTTCTTACATCTTACGTTCATTTTAGCCAGCCTGTATCGTCTGTATTTTTCATGTTTATCTTTTGTTATGCCTCTCCTATCTTTTCCACTTTCTCTTTTCTTTTAGTATTTATTTCTTCTTTTTCCTTAACTACATCAACAGAGGCAGAGGGAAATAAGATTGATAAATTGCAAAGCTATAATGCCAGTGACATGTCAAGGGTTACTGAGAGTGAAAGAAGACTTTAGTGAAGAGAAAGGACAATAAATAAAAAGGTTTCAAGAAGACAGGCAATTGACATTGAATTTAAATTCTTGAAGATCGTTGGTGGCATAGAAGTAAAGAACTAGAAGAGATATCCAAAGTGTGAAAAAAGAAACAATTATAGAATTTATATCTAGCTATTTTGACAGTAAAATAATGAGACCTATTTGCAATCTAGCAGTACACTTCAATCCATGCAGTCAAGCTACCAAGGAGAAGAGCTTTATTGACATTATTCGGACTATTTGTCGCTATATTTATTACAAGATTTCGGCCGTTGTACGCTCCGGCCTTCTTAAAGAGAAGGACGGCGATCAGAATCAAGGCATCAGAAGATGTCAATTTGCATTACATTTGAGTACTTGAAGATTATAGCTATCAGGGAAGCAAGTAAGAGGAAGGGACACTATTTACATTATTCGAACTATTGTTCTCATCTTTGTCACCATATCTATTACAACGTTTCGGCCGCTGCACGCTCCGGTCTTCTTCAGGTGGTTGGAATATCGAACTGAACCCTTTATTTCGCTCACTGGAGTAGACTGTTCTAGTTCCACGTGTCATGTTTAA